TGTTTTAAACATTTATTCTAATAAATATTAAATCGCATTCTTTAAAACAGTCATATCTTTTTTATATGTATTTGGAGAACATTCTGATTAACATACATGGTAAACTTTATTCTAATATGGAAGTACTTTTGGACATGCCACAACACATTCTCCTTTATATTAGTAATAAGGTGGGTCACAATTCAGACATTCATATTAATTTTTACAAACAGAACATCTCTCTGGGCATTAGTAGCAAATAGAATCTATTGCAATAGTTTTCCAAGGGCAGTCTAAAAGGCATGTTTACAGATATGTATATGTATTTGCTGGACAGGATGCATAGCATTGATCGATATAAAGAAATGTTCCTTTTGGACACTATTCCTCGCATTGATTTGAGATAATATTGTAAAAGTATGGGCAAAAATTACTACAAATTCCATCATTTAAAAATGAACCATTTCCACATTTAAGACAACCAAAAGAATCGCATTCAAGACAATCCTAAGAGCAGTCATAGCAAATGAAATTTGAATGGTATGTTGCTGGTGGACAGCTTGACATACAAGTATCAAAGTACATGTATTAACTACAAATCTACAAACACCTACTGCCATTCTAAAAAAAGTTTGGAGGACAAGAAATAACACAAGATCTATCTACTTCATTGTATAAAAAAGGACAAGTGAGAATACATTATTAGTCAAGCAAATAGTAGGTTTCTTTGCAAACTAAGCAATCATTGTTTGATGGACCTATACATGATGAACATGACACATCACAATCCAAACATTCTTAATTATTCTAGAATGTATTATTCGGACATGCATCCATACAGATATTTGAATGATAATAGACTACTGGATTTGTGGGACAACTTTCTAAACATTAATTTTAATATTCAAATAATGATGGATCGCATTATGAGACACATGCATGGTTTTTATAATCAGTTTTGCCAACTAAACAACTTAACTAACAAAGCCCATTTTCCAAAAAATAATCTTTACCACATAGAGTGCAGTTTGTTGTAGAAAGTACATTCTTCACAAGTCTAGGGCAACTCATACAGAAATTATTCTTAACATACATTCCTTTTGGACAGGAATCAACACATTAATGATTAAATTTAAAGCCAAAGAGACAATCCTCAACACAACTTCTTTTATCATAGGATTCTTAATGGTAAAGTTAGGGTGGACATTTTGTGACACATATCTATGTTGTTGGATCCATATAAAGATATTTATTAGTACAAAAATTAGCACAGGTATCAAAAGTTAGAAAGTTGTTTTTACTACATGCTTAGCATACATTTAGGGATGTGCATTTGGCACACCTACTATTGCATTAAATGCAATTTACTCCATCTGAATAATACCCATCGGGTGGAGTTTTCAAACAATTTTTACTGCATTTTAAATATCCTTTTGGACAAGTTGTCACGCAACTTTTGAAGTCAGTTAATTCATACTTTGTACCACAAGTGCTGACACATTTTTAAGTCTCGAAATCATATAGGTTTGGGCAAGTTTATGTGCAAGTAGTATTATTTAATAAATAGTTTTCCAAGCAGGAGGAACACTAACTTACTAAGGGTCCAGTGCAAGTCCTACATAGAGAATTGCAAAGTAAACATTTTGAATTTAATTTGTAGGTAAATGTTGGACATAGTGTGACACAAACTTAACCATACTAAGAATAATTAATATCACAATTGGTTTTACAATACCAACCTTATCTAACAGTAGTGGATGGACAAGATTCCTTGCAAGTTCTATCTGTTAAGTCAGTGTATAATAATGATGGACAAGATGATTAACATTTTGATTAATATAAATAATAAGATGATTCGCATTCTAAACAATTTCCATTTAAAGGTCCATAGCATTCTTTACAAATAGAATTGCATGGTAAGCAAATTCCTGAAGATAGATAAGATTTTGAATAATAGCATTAATCAACACATTCCTTTTTACCATTTAATTGATAAATAGCCAAGAAACCTGGACAAGAGCTAAAACACATTTTTTTAGCTAAATATAAGTAACCTGGGCAAGTTGAGACACAAGTCTAATTAGATAGATTTGCATAAGGTTTTGTATTTGGACATACTTCGACACAAGTAGTATCAGCCAAGTAATATCCAGAATCACATTTTGTGCATTAGCTAACTTATTTACCATAACAAACACTGCAAGGTCCTGCGCATGAAGTACAAATATTTCCATCAGAAAAAGTTTCATCAGGACATGTTGCTACACAAATATTTGAATATTAATATACAGGGCAAGTTACTTTACATGCTAGGGATCCACTAGGTAAGGTTTACAAGTAAGTTTCAGTTGGACACTATTTAGCACATTTTCCATTAATCCAATCTTAATAAATATCTGGATCCATATTACAGACATTTGTGCATGTTGATCTACCTTGCAGAAAATATCCTTCTATACATGTAATACATGAATTTGATGATCCATTCGTACAAGTAGCACATCCAAGAGCACAATTATAGCAATTAAATGTAGAAGCTTAGTTATAAGTTCCTTTCGGACAACCGAATTCATGACATTATTTCTGAGCATCATACCGGTAATAATTATCTGAACAGCCAGCAACACAATATCCATTTTCTTAATAACTAGTGCAAGTAACAACACATAAATTATTAAGTGTATCTTTATAGGGCATATCATCAGGACATTCGGTAGAGCAAGTAGTATTGTATAAATAAGATCCTGGATTGCATTCACTACAAGTAGTTGAATAGGAATCAAAACATGTTTTACATGCATCTGTACAAATACCACATAATCTATAATTAGTCTTTTGTATATAGAAAGTATTTTCTGGTTATATATCAGTACATTAGCCGTTATATTAAAACTAATTATATAAGCAGGTTGAGGAACAGAATTTGACTAGTTTAAAAACTGCATTAATAAATTCATAACCAGAAGTAGCATAAACATTGTTTGGACAAACATTGACGCATTTCCAATTTAACAAATCATAAAACTTATCCTAACAATCTAGTACACACTCATTGTTTAAGAGAAATGTTTTATCATAACAGGATAAACACTGATTACTTTAGGGACCAGAACAAGTCTTGCATTTATAAAAGCAATTGTAACACTATTAGCCTATGCAATATGCTCCAGTTGTGGGAGGATTCTGATAGCATTGACCATTGAGTACGTAGGTGAAAATAGAATATATTTCCCCACAAAAAGAGACACAGGCTTGAATTTTAATGTCATTAATTGTAAATCCGCTAGAGCATGAGCCTTCACACTGATTATTGATATAATTCTTAAATTTAGATTCGCAGGAAGTGAAACAACTACTATCTTAAAGAAAAGTGCCTGGCCAGCATTTAGTACAAAAATTGGCTGAGTTTTAACAATTCTAACAAATTGAGTTGCATTTTAAGCATTAATCTGTATTTTATTGAAAATAATATTGATCATCACATGGATACACACAAGTCTAAGGTTTCGTTTAATGTAAATAAGTTTATTACTACTTATTAATCTAAATTGAGCCACATTTTTATTTGAAGCATTGTCTAATAGAATATCCGTCAATATTAGGGTTGTCATATACAAAATCATTTGGATCACAGCTAGTTAGGCAATGATTTACATCATCTTCATCAATATAGAGATATAGTGGATAGCATGTTATAAGACATTTATTTTAGTTTAAAATATAATGATTTAGACAACGAGTGCAATGTGTTTTACTTGTGCATGTTTAGCAAACTTGAGGGCAATCAACAAATATGGTTTTTGGTTAGGTAGAATCATAGTTAGTCACTAAGAAGTTATCTGTAATTTGAGATTATGGTAGGCATACTGTATTATTATAAATAGCATAGCCATCTTTACAACTCTTGACACATTCTAATTCCTATGTTAAATATGATGGTGGGCACTCTATTTCACAAACCATTGTATCTCTATTATTATATTTAAATAAGCTAAGATTATTACAATCAATAACACAAGTTGTGTCATACGGACTAAAGAAATAAGGTTTATCACAACCCAAACATTGATTTTCCTTTCCGCCAAAGCAATATTTACAGGGGAAGTTGCATCCTTCTAAATTCCAATTATTTGGTCTCTAGTCAAACCTCTCACATTTTTAGTACTTAAAACTTTATTCTACAACACTTAAGCAATAATAACCGATATTCATTTCCTCAAAACTGCAATTGTTCGTACTTCTACATTAGTATGTAGGGGGTTATTCTGTATTCCAACAATTGTACTTGTAAAAATATTTTCCTGGACACTTTTTTAGGCAAACTCGATTTGACTAAAATCTGTAATTGGGTGTACAAGTCTGTTGACATGTATTTAATTCTGTTAAATATTAGCCATCTTTGCATATATAGCAAGCTCTAAAGAATTAAGCCTACTAGCAAGTATTTAGTGAATTCTATTGGCAATAAGCTGTAGCATTCTAAATGCTAAAATTTGGTTGACAAAGTTTGCTCCATTCATTAATAGAACTCGATATGTTTCTTTTGCAAAATATTGCATTAGGATCTGAGCAAGCATATGGGGACACTAAAGAATTTATCTACTAGCATTATCCATTTTATAAATTATAATTATCTGCACAATTTATACAAGCTGATCCCCTTTGTCTTAGACAATTCTAGATTGTTATAGGTGAACAACCATTCTAAGTTTCTTTAAAGCCAGCTGTACAATTATATATATTTATATCATCATTCGGATCTTGTTCCTTGCAATAATGAGTGTTAGGTGAGCAGAATGCACAGTACGCACCAACAAATAATAAACAATCCCCTTGACCTTGTTTAATGCCATAACCTTTAAAAATTCTGATGTCTTAGATATCAATCATTTCTGTTCCAAGTTCATCAGTAAATATTGGTCCAAATATTAATCTTTTGTATGCTATTACATTTTATATGATTTTCTATGAAACCTAGATGCTGTCAATATAAACTCTCAATAATTTTTTTTAATTTGTTGGAATAAAATCAGCATTATAACTTAGCTCTAAAACACCGGCTGTCACATGAGACCAAGTGCTATTAGATAGTTAACCTAAGGCGGAATTTCCATAATTTTAATGAAATTATAATTAATAGTCAAAATTTATTCCAAAACCAAGGCTTATCTGCTGCAATGCATCATCAGTCAAAGAAATAAACTAAAAAAGCGATATTATATTTTATGGTTTAATCCAAAACATAATTGTTAAGGAACCTAGATCCTCCATAAAATTATACACTATCCGTGTATTCTTAAACAACAGTAATCCAACAGAATCACTATAAAATATTTGGTTGGACTATTATCTCAAAGCTACATTTGTAAATTAATTGGTAACATTCAGTCCTTTTAATTAATAAGGTTTTAGAAAGTATTTCAGTTCTAAATCATAGTCCAAATAAATTTCTGAATCCATTGTTGTCCATCCATTTATATAATAAAAATTAGCAATATTTACACATGCTTTGTAATCAGTGGAAGTGTTAAATAATTACTCATTTGTTATTCTAGAATGCACCCCAAAATTATATTTTAATCTAATTATAACAAATTATATACTTTTAATTCACTAAAGTCTCTTAAATTGAATTCATTTTCTAATTAATTGTAGAAAAGAATTTCAAATTAATAAATGTATTGTTTGTACTCTAGTCTATAGATAATACAATATGACACCAACTGCCAATAGAAAGATCATTTTACCTTGAATATATAAAATGTATACCGTGTTAAGTTAACGATTTCTTGAGTCTATCTTTAATTCAATAAGGTCATATTGTAATTTCCTGCAGATGCTTAATAATACAACATTAAATTAAGATACTATTATGAATTAATAATTTACAGGATTATTAGTGTTTCCATCAACAAAAGCAAACAAAATTTACTTTCCAGGCAATTTAGATTGTTAATATATGTTTATCCATAAGGTGAATGTAATCTTATCAAGATTTAGCAGATTTCCAGATTATGAAAGGGACTCATAAAAGTACTAGCTTCCCACAAAGCCATTCTCTCCTACGATATATTAAATTTTTAAAACTTTCATCTATCTATATGCAATTCATATATATAGGCTTCGTTCCTTAAAGTTTTAATCTTTAAGCTTGGCTTTGGAAGGGTAATAAAAGTAAAATTACCATTATTAAAACAAGCATATTAATAAATAATTAATTAAAAATGGATTTAAATTTTCATTCCGTATGTAATTAATTAATTTATGTTTATAATTAATTCAAAAATAATTACTAATACAATTTTATATGATAAATTGTTATTTAAAG